AATATGTCGCATTATCGTTGCGCCAAATCAACTCGAAACCAAATCCTCCTGCTTCGATAGCAGTCCAGTCGAAGTTCCAGCTCTATACGCCACACTCGCGACTCGAAGGTGTCGTACCCGTTGCCCCTATACTGCGTCTCGGATTGAGCACGGAACGTAAAATAGCCATTGTCCAGGCCCACGAGTCCGGTATAGCTGCTCCTCTGGTCTTCAACCCGAGCAATTGCCTTGCTCGCAGCTATCGCATAGGGTTTTGTTCCACGGTACTATGTTATTGCAACCACAGATACCCGACTTGTTGTGGGCGCAGACCTTGTCAGCCATGGCGTTTGCTTCCGGCTTGACATGGGACCGGGCAGGCCTCGTTGGCGTATCAATCATGATTCGGTACACGGTTTGAGTTTGCTGGGTATTTCTTTCTCTTCGCAAAACCTTGCCTGAAGTTGAGACGGTCTTGTGTGGCGCTGTTCAGCCGTTCGGATAGCGTTTGACGGCTCGGCCCGTCGACAATGCTGTGACGGAGAAACTGGGGCTGCCAAGTTTCAATGACGGGAGTGTGCGATGCGACGAATGACGAGGAACAGGCGGTGGGCTCTGGATTGCAACGCGACACGGGGGTCTCTTGAGGCTGAGCAGTTCCGGTTACTAAAGAGCTATCTGCTGCCGACAAAGTTTTTCTCTCTTGTTGATCGTCGGCTCCATCGTTCTGGAGGAACAGGATGCATTCGCTTATATATGTTTTGCATATGGCGGCACCACACACACTCTTTCCACACACGCACTTCGTCTCCCTCTTGGTCTCTGGCGCGCGCACACGCACACACACACACACACAAGTTCACTTACATCTGACAGTCGACCCGCGTCTACATGCGGGCGACGAGACGCACAGGAGCCGTGCAGGGTGGCACTGAACATACATCACTTGTGGCCAACGCCTAGTTAGCTCCCACGCACTTGGGTCGCGGCATTCTACCAGTTCACCAGCACCATAGAAGTATGCCACTCTGCTGGGTTGACAATCTTGCGCACCGTGCCGGTCCTTTGCAATGGTAATGCGCATCATTGCAGGATCCTTGGTTTGGATCATGTATGTTTGCTGCGAACTTCCTGGTCGCGAGTCCCTCCCCGACAGGAGACTTACGACAAAACGACCCTGTCGGCCAGGATGAGGCGAAGCCAAACTTGGCGCAACGACCAGCAGCCTACAGCTTCAGGACCGAGACCTGATCCCGAAGCTTCACTTTCTAGAGAGATATTTTCTCAGAATTTCCTTTGTCTTCACGCGAGAGCCGCACTGTCAACATTCTTAACCGCCTCAAGACTTGACTATTACTGTTCACTCTCTAAAGAGCCTTTACCCTCACGCCTCAAGCCAATCACCTGATGGTATTCATCTCAACACACGAGATCAAAGAATGGGCTGTTCTGGCGCAATGCCGCTGCGAAAATTTTCCAATGGAGGTGCATTAGTGGATCGTGGGAGGACGGAGTACTTGACCGAAAGCCCATTAACATTCCCACTCTATTGCGCAGCGTGGCTGCGTGGTGTAAACCCTTGCCCATGGTCCGACGTGATATGGCCGGGGCCTGGGGCAACGAACAGACTTCTTGCAGTTTCCCAATACAAGTTCGTTTGTGTTGAACATGGGCCGGGCCAGCCAGCCGAACATTGGCTTCTGCTCGACTTGGTCTCCTTTCTCAAGCGCAGTCTTGTTCATACATAGGCTCTTTCTCAACTTCTCGACAATGTCCACCACCATCTTGTTCGCCGCCGCAAAGCCGCAGCGGAGGAAGTAAGTCAGCCCTGAATCTGATACGGATGTCAAAGGACCAAGACAGCGTTCTGTGTTTCCTACTCCCCCTTCTTTAACTAGCCAGTCTCCAGTGAGTGACAGCGTCAGGGAGATGGATATGTTCTCCTTCATCATCGAAACGGCAACTTACAGCTGGACGAGCCTGACGAGAATACGAGGTTCGAACGAGGTTAGTAAAGCCTGACAGTGCGGATGGCGGAACTTCTTCACTAGAATGGTGAACCTCGAGGGGTTCACCACGAGATGGGATGGGGGGAAGGATGGGATGTTGTGCAGATGGGCCCTTCTGCGAGTGCGACGGGCTTCGCCATGGAATACACGGCTATGTCAGGCACGCTACCGGTACACTAGACGTTTGCGCGGCAGCAAAACGGTAACGCCCCCGGAATTCTGGGGGTAAAGCAGAGCATATCCACCCTATTACCCCTTCAGGCTTCCGGGTCTCCAGAGTGTGAAAAGGTTGCTAACCCTCTTAAGGCTTTCCGACGTTGTGTTGAGGGAAAAGCAGGGGGGCTGTAAGGTATAGGTAAGCTGTCACTTTTCACCTTTTTCTTTTTCTTGAGGAGCGCCGAAGCCACCACCACCCCCAGTGTGAACTTCAGTGTGTGTGGGATGTGAATGGAACGTTGTTCTCGTGGTAGAAGAGAGGATAGATTTGCCGATTGCAACCACCGCTAGCTTTCCTGCTGTTGGGTTTTGGTATTGCATGAGCGACTTGACTACAGAGTATTCGTATACGATATGGGCATTGAGAGGGGCGTTGGGAAGAAACCCCATGGGCACGCATGGCTTTTTGCCGAATCCCAGCAAGCGAGCGTACAACGGTTGTCTCACGTCAAAGCGTATTTTTTTATTTATGTTTTCACAGACTGCCATGCAGCAGCGCAGCAGTCGCAGTCGCATGCTGCGCCAGACCCCCACTTTGAGAACCATGTCGCTGGGATCTTTGAGGAAACAGAGCTCTCGAGTCTCGACTCTGAGTGCTGGCAGCGGGCCTCGGACCAGGTCTGAACTGAATCGAGTGATGGACCAGGGAGGCAATAGGGATATGAAAGCGGCACAGCGCCAGTACGAAAGGATTGTGGGCATTTCGTTATTCCGCTCTTTCCCCCTATTTTCTTCCCCCCGTCTGCCCCTGCTTCGGCGGGATCCCTGTTTGATTCTGTAGCGGGGACATAGGATTTGTCGTCGTTGTGCCGCAGAATATCGCCGGACGATGGGTGGTGTCGGTTAAAAGTTGTGTGCGGATACGTCAGTCCTCGACTTGCAGGTTATTCGCACCCGTGCGGGACGGACTGTGGGTGAATCAGTTCCTTTCTGTCTCGACTTGGACTGCGGGCTCTGCTGGTCTGAAGCGGTACGGTAAGCCATTCGTCCTCCATATTTGCCTCGTGCCCTTTTGTCGGCCGAGGCTTGAAAGTCTGGGGGCATCTGAACAGGAAGTCTAGGATGGCGAACACGATGATTGTAATATTCTCTACTCGTCACATGCAATAAAGGGAAACTGGGCATCGCCGTCTTAAAGTGTTGATGACACTATCATGTATATTTCGAGATGCAAAGCTGTACTTGCGGCATGCCGGTCAACGACCTCCTTGCGTACGGGAAGGGGAGAGACCTAGGAGCAATGTAGGCTCTTACGCTTTGGAACTGGACTTGATATACGATACGATGTAGTGAGATGAGATGTGATACGAATACGGTGTAAGATAATTAAGGCGTGATGATATCAGAACAGAGAGGTGATAGAATGGGTTAGAGAGACACTTTCCCATCGCGCCTCTTCATTTCCGTCACCATCTGTTCTGTCACGTTCAGATGCGAATCTATACTTATTACTTTTTGGGATAGATTGTCCAAGAGGGATAGTGCAATAATCTTTAGTGAAGAAGGGAGATTGGCATACGGACTCTCTCGTTCTTTCCTCCGCTATGGGGGGTCGGAGGATTGGAAGGTGATTTTGCCTCTATCGTGTTGAGCACCTGTGCTCGTTTTTTGGAGAGGGAGTCTGGCTTCTGATAGAGCAGAGCGTAGAGAGTGCCGATTATTTAGAGCAATGGAGGGATCCAAAGCCGAAGAGAGAGAGACGGAGGGGAAAACACCGAGATTAAAATAATAGTTGCAGTAGATTCTCTGTAAATCTACTAGAACTTAAGAAACTAGTATTTTGAATACGAGACTTTAGTACGGCTAGGATGAGACCCTGCTCATATTATCATGCAGGACCAGACGACCGACGAACTGTTCACCAACATAATGAGATCAAGAGTAGTGAGTCTTTCTTCTCGAGCTTGAGTTTCTGTTGAGCGCGAGGAGGCCATTATCCAATGAGCCGGAGCGAAGGGATGAGTCTTGATGAATGGTTCTCAACAACCTGCAGAGTGCCCAAGTCATGGTGGTATCACGAGTAAGATAGATGGACGGAATGGTGGACGAGATCACTAATCAGTCCCGATGTAGTATTGTTATTCATGTTTCATGTCAAACATTGTACTTTTTTTCTTCACTCCCCTTCACATCACACTATATTTTTCTCTAATATAATACTGGCCCAGTAATCCCGCACGCTTGTTGAAGATTTGCTCGACAGACAGACTATCGCGGGATCCTGGCCGTGTCGACGCAATGTGGCAATCACGCTGGGCCTTGAGGCTTTCCTCCGATGAAGCCCTCAGGTCGCCCGCCACGTTGTGCTCAGAGATTTCCACGCGAATCACGTACACCACTCCCAGCTGCATTCAACCTCTGCCTCCTCCTGTGGATGATTGATAGAGGAATATATCCCAGGTACCGGCTGATACCGCAAACTGGACGAGGGGCTATAGATATGTACTCACCTTCATACTAAGTAATAAGAAATTACAGACCAACAAACATCAATACTGTTGCCCGTTGCTTCACTGAGAGGAGAGGCAGATGACATGTATTAATAAAGACCACCAGAGAAAAGAATTACGCACCTTTACATAGCAAAACTTGCATAGCCTGTGGTTAGTACAATCAGATATCACGCGCATCGACTTGCAGCAAGCCTCGAGGGGGCAACAAGCCACAAAACCTCCAGTCTCCCGGTACGAAGGACATCCCGACACATCACAGTATAGTCTCAAGTCAGACGAATAGTGTTTGTACTTTTGTATTGATGCGGAAAAATCAGCTCGGGGCAAATAACCTCCTCTATCACGTGTGCTTGTATCTATGTTCTGACAGAAACATCTCTCCCAAGGAAAACAAGCCAATGCCTACTGCCAGTTGCCTTGTCTTCACTTCCCCCATTTGCCCCGAGCGTACGAACAGAAAGACCAAAACAATGTCTGGGATCGAAAAACCCGCAGTGAGAAATACAATTACAATACATTCGAGAATCCCAGAATGCCGCCCCGTAAACGCCTTAAAAGCCAAAAGCAAGGTTTGAACCGGCCGATTGCCGAGCCAGGTATAATATGCATTGAATGCTTGGGGAAGGAGAAGAGAAAAATGCGCCCCGAAGGACCCGTTCGTCTTCATCGTTGTCATCATCGCCGTGTCATGGACATCATGCCGGTCAAAGCCGGCTTCCACCCGTAAACACCATCCCAGTTTGCCGCAATCTCCAAGGTTACCAGAACCCAACGCCAATTCATGCAGAACAACATGGACCGGTCGTGATCATCATCATCATAAGTGGTTAGTAAGTGGTCGGCCCGAGTCTCGTGGTCCAGAGGAGAAACTCAAGAACGAGGGCCAGGCTGGATGCCTCTGCGTGTCACCTAGGCACCAGAGACTTTGCGGGCCGTCGACGCCGCCGTGGCTGACGTTGCCGAGGTACCCACGCTGCCGACACGGCCGCTCGTCTTTCGAACTCCATCCTTGGACCTCGGTGACTCGCCCGATCGCTTACTGCCACGAACCTTGGTGAGAATGCCGGACGCGCTGCTGACTCTATCCACTTGCTTGACGCGTGATGTTCCGAGGTTCTCGACGTCATTGCTGGCATCGTTGTCGATGTACGTCTGGTACACAGCGGCAGCTGAGTGACTAACTGAGCGCTTTTCGCTGCGACCAGGTGACGCGGAAGGTTTCCGTTGCGAGCGCATACGGAGGTGAATTTCTTCATCCGACTCGGCGCTATGAGAATGCTTGTGGACTGTAATGGTCTCGGCGTCTTGGTGGATGCCTGTTTCTTCCTCGACTGTTGCGGTGTATGAAGTTGACCTTTGGTATGGGTGGTGGCGGTCTGCCCTGTTGGTCTTCCTCGGCTGACCAGGAGTCGGCGCTGGGAGGTAGTCTTCCTGAACCCCAATGTTATTGCGGTCGTGGTCGACTTCGCTCAGAGGCGTCCGGTTAGAAGTGCTTCGGTGCGGGGGCGTGGATGCCTGACCGGCACGAATCGACGTCTTCTGCATGGCGCGGATCGGGGTGCTGGGAACAGCGGCGTTGGCGGCCATTTCTTTGCGGAGCTTGCGCTCGATGCGCTCCTCGATCCACCACTCACGGAAGATACCCTGGTTGATGTGAAGCCAGTGCTGCTGGGGACCGACGACCATACCGGGGCGCATGAAGCGCATAAAGGCAATGATCTCGTTGGCCGTGAAACCGTGGCGGTAGATGAGGTATGCACCAATGAGGCAGCCTGTTCTTCCTAGGCCGGCCTTGCAGTGGACAGCGATGCCCTTCTTCTTGACGGTGATGGTCTCGTGTGCCAGTCTGATGAATTTGCGAACAGTGGTGAGAGGCGGGCAGGTGCCGTCGTCGAAGATCATGTCAAGGTGAGAGATGCCCATTGACTCGAAGAAGGAGGGGGAGTACAGAGGCGAGTTGAGACGAACAACGAGGCCAATGTTTCTCTCGGTGAAGTGCTTCAGAACGTTCTTAAAGGGCTGGGGAAGCGTCTTGTTGGCATCCAACTGGCCGAGCGACTTGGGAAGCGCATCAAATTCCTCAGTGCCTTCGAGGACCTTGGCAACGGGTGTGTGTTGGGGCGAGGCAAAGGCCAGGAAGTGTGGCGTGATCCAGTTGAAGTCTCCGTGCTCCACTCTCTCAAACTTCTCATACTCGTCGAGGTCGAAGTTGTCGAGGGCGCAGCAGCCCTCCTCCTTAGCCTTCCAGACGCCGTAGACAACATCTTGGACGGTGATGCCGTAGTCGGCCTGAGAGTATCCGGCGTCGCGGAAGGGCATCAAAGGTGGGTCGACTTGAGCGATGGGGGCCAGGGCCAGGTGCGGGGGCCAGTTCTGAATGAGGACCATGTAGCAGGCGAGCATGCAAGCAGCGTTGGCGCGACCTTGTAAACTGTTAGCTGAGGGTTCCCATGACAACTATTCGATGCTGCGGACTCACTTCTGGGGTCGGCTCTGCTCCAGAAGACAATTGGGCGATCCTTGTTCTCCTTGGCACCGAGGACGTCATGGAACTGCAGGGCGAAGCGGTACAGGTGACCAATGTGGAGCGGACCAAAGTCGTGGTGGAAAGCATTGTACAGGAGGGTATCGTCGACGGTGAAGTAGTACGGCGTTTGGCGGGCTGCGGTCTGGACGGGTGTCGGGCCTTCGGCGGCTCTCTGTGATCGCTTTCTAGGTGAAGACTGGGCAGCTTCGCCGTAGGGAAAAATGGTCTCGGCCGTGGGTGGGTGGATGTAGGCGGCCAGGTACAGGCGGTCTGGAAGCCAAGTCAGAATTGAGATCGGGAAGAAGGCGCAATAGAGGTAGGGATGAAGCTGGGGTAAGGCATAGTTGAAGCTGTCGCATGATGCGCTCACGTCGGCTTGCGGCGAGCGAGGCGACTGAGATGGCGCAGGATAATGATGCGACATGATTGCGATGTTGGGGATAGGCAAAATGCACGATATGGGAGCTGAAAGAGCACGCGCGACAACTCACCTGGGATGTACTCAATGACCTGGCCCATGTTGGCACTCTTGGATGAAGGCGCCATTGGGACTCGTGAGTCTCTGTTTCCTCTCTGAAGCTGTTTTCCGGTTGAGATTAGGAGGAGGCAGTTGCTCTCGGCGCCGGAATCCAAGATGCAACTTGGAGGAGGCTGGAGGCTGGAGGGGGTCGAAATGATCAAGGCAGGCGCCGAGATTATCCAGAGGCGAGGCTACTCCTTTGTATGGAAAGTAATGCGCGCGCAAGGGAACTCGGGAAGGCGGTCCCTGGGAAGAGTGTCGTGCAGCAAATGGGTGCGGGATTGTGAGCTGGGTTGAGGCAGGAATGTTGAAATGGCTGGTCTGAAACAATAACAACAACAAGCAGCTACTGTACACCTTTTTGGTTTCGATGTTTTTTTTTCTTTGCTGGTCTGACCCAAAAAGCTGCGACGCCCTTGCGGAGAATAGAGAAGGAAGCGCAAGAGAAAACAGCAACCCGACTCAAGGGAGATGTGATGCTTCAAGGGCGGACAAGACAATTGTCGGAGTCTATTGGGAGGATGAGGTAAAAGGAAGGTATTGCGAGAGCGCAAAGGAGACCGAGTGACGGTGTTTTTGTATGGTTTGCTGTGTGTTTTGCTCCAAGCGGTCAATATGGGGCCGGCCCAAAACAGCAAGGGTCGGTTGTTGTTCCCTTAGCCTTCTGTGCAGTGTGGCGCCCCCCCAATGGCCCCCCTGCACCACGGCGACCGCTGTGCTGTGGTGTGTTCTGGCCCTGCTCATCCAGTCTTATGCTGGCTGCCGGGCTGCCAGGTTCGTTGTCACGACAACCTGCCAGGGGGAGCACTGGCCAGGTGCGCCTCCTGACGGATGAATCGAACCGTCCCATTGGCTCACAACGCCTGAGGCAAACGCACCCGCCTCAGATCCCGCTTGGCTTACCACCTGGACTAAGGTACCTAAGGTAGGTAAGATACCTATCTACCACCTCACCACCTTACCGTGGGTAAACAGGTACCAAGTATCTTCCCTTTACCATGGAAACTAAACCCTTTGCAGCTTCTGACGGCTGTTAACCACCGCTTGCGCAGCCAATGCGCAAAAGAAATGCCCCCTTGCTCCCTCTCCAGGTTCTGTCGGATTATTCCAACAATAACAAACCAGCAAGGCACAGATGGGCAACCGTCTCCGCATGAACTCGTTCAAGCCTTCCCGGGTTGCTTATCGGGCGGCATTGCATCAGACAACATGTGAGCCGCCAGGGCAACCCCACGTCGCGCATCTCCTCCCTCTGTGGACTCTTGAACTGTGGGCTATACCTTACCTTACCGTCTACGGATACGGGATAGGTATGGAACAACACACACACTTCATCCATCCCGATGGAACCAATAGAACATGTGTGTAAGTCAAAGAGGTCACCAAGTCACTTTGGGGACGGCCCGAGAGCCCTTGTGCGTGTGCGTTGGCTACATTGCTTGATTCTGTCGTGTGTCACATTCGACCCTAGACTGAGATGCCGCCATGGAAACAAGCCCGTGGAATGGCGGGGCACTGTGCTCCCTACCACGTACTACGTAGTCACACTATCCTTACTTTTCTTGGTCCCTCCAAGGTTTGCGCTCACCTCATGTTTCCGTCCCGCTGTCCCGCTCATTGTTTGGTTTCTTCAAGGTACGGACTAAGGTACGTTACTTTGTACGCAAACCTCTGTTTGCCGGCCGGACAGGAATTTTCTTGCGCCGCCAATGACGACTTTGCCTTCTCTTTCTGCTTCCTGTCAAGTTCCTTTTCCGAAAGATCTTCATCACTCCCCACAGAGCCGCCGCGACAGTGCAACAGCAACGGGGCTTTCCCATTCCTGTCCAACCAAGGCACCTCACCACCTTACTTACCTAAGATAGTCTATCTACCTATCTCTATCTCTATCTCAATTTCACCCCTCCCCCTCCCTCCACATCCCACCTCCAAGCGCAAAAGCTCCCCCAGCGCCGAAAATCCCCAACACCATGGCCGTCCACAGCACCATTGACCAAGAGTTCCCCTGCTCATTGTAAGTCATGTCGCCTTACTTAAATCCCGCATGGGCCCCCTTTCTTCTTCTCGTATTGTACCGAAAGCTGAGACATGCGAAACGATAGAACAATCAACGTCCCCTTCCCGACCCCGCGCCTAGCCACCGTTGCGCACAAAGCCCTCGCCGTCGACCAAGAACTGTCTCCCCTCGTCCGCCGCACCTTCTCCATCGATTCCGACTCACCGACTGACGCCGGCGCCGACGCTGCTTCCGTCCTGCGCGTACACTACAAGGCCACCACAAACCGCATGCTTCGCGTGGCCGTCAACGGCCTCATGGAGAGCCTGAACCTCGTTGTCGAGGTCATGGAGGAGCTGGATGTTGATGTTTTGGAACACAACCGGGTCTCTTCGCAATAAGGGGTTCAAAAAAGACAGAAAAAGAGTAGTGAAGAGGAGAAGGGGGGAAAAAGGCCTCTCGTGGATTGCTACCCGAAATATGGGGAACTAAAAGGCGCAAGAAAAAAAGCTTACCGCTGGAAATTCGGGACAAGAGAGCGGGAACGCAGTCGCACGCGATGGGAAGAGAAGACGGGAAACGATGCATCATGACTTCATTTTTTACATTTTTTGTGATACCCTAGAATACACAGCCACATGATATGTGACATAATCACAAGGTGCCAGTACTCTCTCTGTAGAGCTCTAGTCTAAATTTGCTTCTAGATTCTCCTGAGCCTAGTACCTTCGCTTCAGGCAGGCTTGTGCCGGCGATGACCCCTAAGGCGGCCAAGTACAGCAAACGTGGCAGGAGGATATGTTTCCTAATGGTTATACGACTCCAGATGTCCCTCTATGCCCCCCTTAATTACTTCGTATATCATGCCCGCCCGGTCTTTTGACCAACATATTGTCTCCGTGGCTCTCAAGGCCATCATTACAGACGCGCTCGTCTAGCTCTCCACCGCCTCCTTCTGCTCCAAGGACTTTTCCTTGAGCTCCAACTTCTTCTCCGCCTCCTCGGCTCGCTTGGTGGCATCGGCGACTTCCTGCTTGAGCTGTTTAATGTACTCAATGGCCAGCTCAACGGTGCTGGCTTTGCTGTTCGGCGCCCCTCCAGCCTTGGCCTCTTTTTCTCTCTCTTTCCTCTCTTCGCTTTCGCTCTTGGATTCCTTTGGCGGCTGCGGCAGCAGCGTCGCAATCTCTTGCAATGCCGAGTTGATTCGGTTCCGGCGGCCCTGTTCCGCAATCTTGTGGGAAGTACGTTTTGATGTGAGGTTGGTCGATAGTTCGCTGGGATATGTCACACCGGGTACGGTATTGCCCTCGAGGATGTTCTGATAGTTAGACTTTGACATTAACAGACGAGATGCCGTGTCTTCGGCGGACATGCCACCGGGGGTTCCAGGGAGGAGCGGCTTGATGCTAGGAGATATTCTCGGCCGCAACGCAGGCGACACGTGTACCGAGCTCACGCTTCCCCTCTTGCTCTGGCTTCCCCTGGCCAACAGCTTTGGCGTTTTCCGCGCCGATGGACCTGAAGATCCAGGAGCAAGGTTCGGGCTCGCGCTGGCTGACGCCGCAGCGGTGGGTTTGGCAAATACGGGGGAAGGCAGCGGCTGGAAAGATGAGCCCGTAGCTGTGCCAGGGTCCAGAGGCGACTGAGTCGGCGTTGATGTGTCCAGTCTAGGGGGTTTCGTTTTTGACGAAGAAAAGTTCACGGATTCGGGCAACTCGAACGATTCAATGTGGTCTGATGGGCCTAGATCGAGAGGGTTTGATGAGGCGGAGTTGTTTGCGCTGGAAGCAGGCAGCTTCATGAGAGAGGCCGGGGTGGCGGGAGACGGCTTCCCTTGAACGTGAGCTGGAATCGCGGGATGAGGCTGGGGTTGAGGTTGAGGTTGAATAAAGGGTGATTTGCTCGATTGCTTCTGTTGCGGAAGAGGTGGCGGGGGCATATCCGACAGGTTCTCAGGCGATACTGACGCATTTTCGGACTCCTCGCTGCTCATCGGGGCTGGCAGAGCCGTCGAAGGAAGCATCTGATCCAACCCATCCTCGTTCACCTCCCGCATTTCCGAGAGAGCCTGTGATACCATCTTCGGCGTGGGTGTTGCCCTTTTGCGCTGTGGTTTTGAAATCGGCGACTGTCGCACACTAGATTTGGCCTTGGCTCTCGAGGCGTTAGTCTTGCGGGCTTTCTTTGATAAATCTACCACCGGCTGTTGCGTGGTTGTGGTTTCGATATCCATCTCGGCTGGTGAATTGTGGTTTGAGAGGGACGACCGACGGTCGTAAAGCAGTCCCTGGTCACTTTGCGCGTGTAATGCCGGCGAGGTGAGAGGGCTAAAGTATGCACCTGGAATTGTGAACCCGCCAGCTTCCATCTGGAAATGAGGATCCAACGGTGTTACAGCAGGCGAGACCAAGGGAGTGAAAGCCATCTATCACGTTCAGCTTCAGAGGTTCGTTTCACTGCGGGGGGATCAACTCTTACATCCTGCTGCTCCTTCATCCTTTGATACCTGCTGCCAAACATGGGCGTCTGGCTTTGGTCGTTTGAGTAGAACTGGTTGCTGGCAGGCGGCATTTCGAGACTCTGAGGTGTAGGGGGAACAGCGTGTGTCTGGCTAGCGTAGTATGCGACTTGCTGTTCTTGTATCTGGCGATGTTGCTGTTGCATCCTTTGCTGCTGTAGGTACTGTATCTGGGCGTCAATTTCGGTAATGGCATCTGTTGACGTCGACGGGGGAATCATTTGAGTCTGTATAGCAGGGTGCGCGGCGGCCGTTGTCATGTTGATAAGCTGCGCTTGCATAGCAGAAGTGGTAGCTCCCATGAGCATGGACGTGTCGGTTCCTCCCATCTGAGTATCGATCTGCTCGCGACCAGGCTGATGCATTATGCCGGTCCCGCTGCCAGTCTGATAGTCGTTGAAATCGAAGGGCATCGCATCGCTGAGGTTGCTCATCCCACCCAAGTCCAAGAATTGCTGAAACTCCTCATCGTGGTTTGGTGCCAAGGCCGGGTCCTGAGGGTTCCAAGAGGCGGCGTCCATCATGGCTACACTGAAGGTTGCGACTCCGGCTCGGAGAATGTCAAAGCCCGAACTGCAAATGGCGCTGTCGTGGGAACACCGTCGAATCTTGTGCGCCTTCCCTTTTGCAATATCCGATTCGTGATATCCTGATCAATGAACTCGATTGGCGCGGTCGTAGGCCGATAGCGACAGTCGTTGAAGTATGTCGGGGTGAAATAGGTGAGAGAGGCTCAGCAGGTTGCGCACAAGGCAGTGTATGGAAGGTAAAGGCACGGCTTGTCGTGGGGTTCTGTTCGAGGTGCGTGGGGAACACGGGATGAAAATGTGCCGGGCGCAAAGTGTAAAGCGCAGTGCCTCGCGCCGAATGAATTCGGTGGGAGACTTCGCTCTCTCGATGCCAAGAAGAACTCGGGTTTGAGTAATCTGTGACGGAGTGATGGACGAGGTTGAAAGATGGTGTTGGAAATAGGAAAACCTGTCTCTCTTGGTGGAGAGAGAGAGGCTGGAGAGGACGAGCCGACGGAGCTGAGGGACTCAGAGGCAGTGGCAGCGGCAGCGGCAGCGGCAGCGAGCAGGTGATAATGGTGGGAATGGTGGGGGGGAGACACACCTACTGCGTACATAGTGCACTAAGGTAGAGAAGGAGGTGGGACGGGGGTGCATTCAGATGGATGGATTGCCATTGGCAGCCGGTGAGTGGTTGACGAGCCCGTGGACACATTTTTTTTCGCGTACCTTGGGCTGGCGGACCCAAGCTTTGCCTCGATAATCGACTGCTTCCTTGCCCAGGACATGGATGACAAGTGAACTGGCCCGTGCCCGGCGCATTCATGCTTCCAAGGACTCCCCAGTACAGGGATTTTATTATGTGGTTGTTGTTGAGCTATCCGTAACTGCACTAGGTTTCTGTAAATTGGTCGAACCGACCGACACGCGGTTAAATTGGGAAGCAGAAAAAAAAAAAATACACAGTATGATATCCGTTACTCCCGTACTCAAGGATCCTACCCGAACAATCTTTCCGACGGCAACATGTCATGTTGGCGGGTGTATCACCACCAGCGACACCCGCTAGCATCTTCAGATCTCGGCTCGTCAGCAGGTTGGATGAGGTCACAGGACAATCCTGAGCGATCATCGCGCCTATGAATACCCAACATGGCCCCATGGTAAGGTATATTTGCGCTGAAGCCGCAGTCGAATATTATTCGCTGCGAAACAGTTCCCCAACACGGTTTCAAGTCCGATTACTTACCTACTGTCCGGGAATATCCGCCTTTGCTTCAAGCACTGTCCGAACCCTCGGGCAATGCCCAGTGTGAACTATGAATTGAGCAAGCATTTCCCTGCGTCTAGTTAGATCATTCCATATCTCCGGAGACAACACCACGAGGATAATTACCTTAGGTTAGTATACAATCCCGTACTACAAGTATGTATCTACTCTGTACGCATCTTGGCTAGGTTGTACTTGCCTGCCACTATCCCAGGGGTCTTTTGTCTGTGCTTAATCTGACCCTGTCCAACCTTCTCCACGAGACAAGAAACCTCCTCTTTTCTTTCCAGTTTCAACTGACAACAGTGGAGGTATTACGCTATTTCCAGATGGCCCCCCTTCGGACTCGGAATGATTGTCGGGGAAACCGCAACGTGCAATGGCTGGTATTTTCTCCCCAACCATGGCACTCACCCAGCCATCATCCCACGACTTCCCAGTCACGGCACTGGAGAGTTCAATAATTGAGACGGGACGAGGGGAGAAATTTTCTCACCCGATGTCTTTTTACGGCTTGGCGCTCCGATCACACCGAGGCCTTGAGCGAGCAAGATTGACTTAAAGTGGACCCGGACCCTCATCGGCAACGGCGCCGGCGCCGCGCCACGCAAGTTCGTCAGAAGCGAGCTCGAGCTTTAACCGCTCCAAGCCCAAGACTCTCTCTGTTGCTTCCATACTAAGGAAACCTTGGGATGCGAGATGCCAGGTGAGGTATGGTAAGCTTCCCAGCCGCCCAGAAGAGTCAAGAGACATCCCGCAGCCAAGCCCATCACGGCAGACGTCAAAACTGACAGCCTATGCAGAGGGGCTCTCTCTAGCCAGCAGGCGGAGCCATGTGCCACACTACGAGTCCGTGACTCGTGAGCTTGTCTACTCGGGTCCCATCTCGGATCTCCGACTTCGATCCTGACTGGCGTCGCAGGCCCATAGTGCGGTTATTTAATATCCAGCCCGGAATCGGTGCTGCACTGCCTGCAAGTCATGAGCGATTACGGGACCAGAAACGGGGCCAGACGAATAATGCAACCTGTCGCCTTTGGTTTAATTTGGATGACCGGTAGTTGGGTACTGCGGATTGTCGTTGGGCCCAGGTTGCAGTCGTATTGGTCTCCCAAAGTCCAGGGTCCAGTGAGACTCATCAAGAAGAACTTCGTCATCAAGGGATGTCCTGGTTGCTGCTTTAGGTTCTCACACGAGCTGCTCACGTGACCGAGTGACGGCTGGAGTTGCCCCCTCTCTGCGGTTGCCTGTCCCTCTACAAATGCCTAGGTAAGTTCCCAAAGTCATGTTGTAAGGAAAGTGTGGTAGGGAACGGCGGTTGTTCTACTATCCGCACGACCTCGCCAATGACCCTCTTGCAGCTAGGTGTCAAGATACACCTACCTTAACCTCTGCCTTGAGCTGTGCTAGTTAAAAGACATAATCTTGAGTGAAAGTCGTTAGGTAACGGAGGTTCTAGAACACCACCGTTATTGTGCGTCGTCGTGGGGGTTGAAGGGCGGGGGCCGAGGGTGCAGATTCCCGAGTGCAACCATGATTAGGTCAGCTACCAGTGAATGACAACGCCACATTTGCGCTTAACTAAGCTTGATGCACCGCCATATTGTGGCTGGAGACGATCAGATGGCCCGAGCTTAGGTTCGGTGGCTGAACATCACGTGAAAGTCCTCCTGACTCTTCGTGTCGCGAGAGTGTCGCATAGGTACCGTACTTGGTGATAACATGGCTCGAACCACTGTCATCGCTGAATCATCCTTGCTCTTGATGCCAGAAACGGCCAGAGACGCCCGGTACGAGTAAGGAAGACCTCTCGGAAGCATTCATGCGGGACCTCAGGTCGCACAAAAGATTTCGAGGATTTACTACGACTCTTGAATATCAGATGTAGTAAATAAGAGCAAACTGATGGCAGGAAGGAAATGGAGAAGCATTATTCGGATTTATTTGAAGGGGATCTTCGTCAGTGTAACAATACCTAAAGAAGCCAAGGATGGTTCAAAACTCGATAACTTGGACGAACAGCTACGCAGTAGGTACGATGTACGAAAAGGCAGCTTGCTTACAAGCTACTGCCCGCCGCTGCCCGCCGACCCACTACTTACTTGAGCGGGCTTACAGCTGAATGGTCGACGGGAAGCAAGCATTCGAGTGGGTGCTCGCTCGGTCTCACCCAAACGGCAAACCAAAACACTCCTTTCCCCTCAGCTCCCGCCCCCTCCCCCTCCACTTCACCTTGTCGCTCCCGTTCTCCAATTGTTCGGCCGCTTGCTTACCTTAGCTCTGTCCCGTCACGTCTCTGCACTCTTGGAGCTACCTTGCAGTACCTTATTACTACGGCACAAGCTCAACCATCTAAGCCCGAAACCCAAAAACACCATACACCTGTATACCCGCCCGGGCCCAGGTATATAATCCGATCTCCCAAGATCCTGTCACAATCCATCACCGACACCTGCCATCCCACGGTTAATTGAATCCTCAAATACCCCAACCATGAATTACGGTCATCAGCATCCCAATGGCGGCTACCACCCCATGCCTCCTGGACATCCCGCGAACCAGATGCCCCAGCTTCCTCCCATGGGGTATCCAGCACCAGCGCCTTTGCCATCTAACATGCCGCCCAACGGAATGCCTATGCAACATCAACATCACCAACCGCCTCCGCCCCCTCCAGCTCAGGCCCCTGTGCCAGCCTCCATTTCAAAAACGGATGATTTGGGCAGGAAATACGAGTACGTCGCGCGCTTCTTACAAAGCGCCAAAACACTTGGACTAACGATGCGATTGCCAGGCTCGTCGTTGTGCAGCAGCCTCAGCGAGCGCGAATGTGCGGGTTTGGTGACAAGGTATGCTCACGTTTGCCGTTTCTACGACTCGCGACTCCCACTAACAATTACCCCAGGATCGCCGGCCGATTACCCCTCCTCCGTGTATCAAAGTCGTCGTGCGAGATGCGAAGACTGGCCAAGAAATAAATCCAAAGTACGTGCGGCGCAACGAACCGCAGCATTTCTGAATTGCTGTGCTAACCTTGGCGGATAGCGATATCGATTCGGCACATTACATTATTCAGGTTGATTTGTGGTCAGAAGATGGCACCCAGGAGGTGAACCTCGTTCGTCACTCTTCCAACACAGCATCGATATCGACCACTCAGCCTTACTCCTACACGGCGCTGCGCGAGGACCCCATGAATCCGCCACCAGCGCAGCCTTACCAAGATATGCAACCTTATGGATCAGCACCCATGGGATACGGCCAACAACCGCCGCCGCCGCAGCCCCAACAGCACATGATGCCAAGCTACGGCATGGCAGCTGGATCCAACTATCCTCGTCCGTCTCCCGACCATGTGACTGCTCTGTTCTTCTAACGTACTGACTCGTGGTGCAGAATACCAGTCAACCAATTCTCGGTTTGCGCCGGCAACTCAGTACTATCCGCAACACGCCAACCCAGGCCCCGTGCCCTCGCAGGCGGATATGGCGTACGGCCATCGCCAGTCGCTGTCCATGGCAGCGAGCCAACCCCAGGGAATGTTTACGAGAAACATTATTGGGAGTGTCAGTTCTAGTGCCTTCCGCCTCAACGACGTAGACGATCAAGTCGGTGTTTGGTTCATCATGCAAGACCTGAGTGTGAGAACCGAAGGCCACTTCAGGTGAGTTCCTTCACGCGATCCGATACATCAGCAGAATGACTAACCAGTTCCTCTCAAGACTGCGCTTCTCATTTGTCAACATTGCGAAGCCCCCGGGCGCGACCAATCCAAACGGATCAATGGTGAACCAGCACAAAGCCCCGATTCTCGCTGCGACTTTCAGCGATGCTTTCCAGGTGTACTCGGCCAAAAAATTCCCCGGTGTCTGCGAGAGTACTCCCCTCAGCAAATGTTTCGCAACGCAGGGCATCAAGATCCCCATCAGGAAGGAGGGTGCCGCAGACGGGAAGAAGGGCGGCGACGATGACGACGAAGCCTACCAGTAGCGCACAGAGGCGAACGATTCGGCGCACCCCGTACGTGTGTTTTGTCCCATGAAGAAATCAAAGGGGCATGGAGTTAAGGAGGTGTAATATCACAGCATAAGGATACAGTACGCACAAAAATGGCGTATTGGACGGTCACGTCACTGTGGTATGAAGTGTGATTATTTTCCCGGCCAGTGGGAGTTTTTGCAAGCAAAGCTTGTAACTTGTATTAATGCTCAATTGGATTATGTGCCTTTCTTTGGCGCCAGCATGGAAAAATTCAGAAAACAAGTTCAATAATCCGAGATGGGATTTGTAATGCGTCCGCCGCGTGAGATTTCGTGCCGAGGAAGTTGGAATAAACCCTCATTATCCATATGAGAGCATCACCAAAAAAGACGTCCTACCTACCTTTCCTGTAAGGCAGGCATGCCTCCCCCTGCAGGATACAGGATCAGGATTCGAGTGATAAGTCCGGTCCGTCACGCCCAGCGGCCCAGATCTCCCTCCGCCCACATTCCGACTCGGCCGGGTAACGTTCACTAGCTTCCGCGTCCTTTTTTTTCCTGGGGTGGGGTTCGGGTCGTCCCAAGAGAGAACGCATACCTATCAGCTTTGAAGGGCGCGGAAGGGGGAAAGAAGGAAAGTAGGCAGGTAGAAAGCTTGTTATATTGGTTGATCGAATCAGATGGCGGGAATCGAGGAGAGAAAAAGGCAGAACCTGTCCGTATAGTAGGTACCTAAAAACCATTTCCCTCGAGGCACACTTGACAATGTCTTACGTAGATATCTTCTGAAGCGTCGTTTCTTTTAAAATCAAGAGCAAGGTTGTGGGCCCAGCTTACTCAAGGCCTATTCGAAATCACTCATGAAAGCCACTTTGTCAGAAGCACGTTGACGAGGTATACAAAGCACGCAAAAACTACCATCTCATACACTGCCAACCGAAACGGAACACCGCGGCCTTTTGCTCCTTTTCGAAAAATCCGACACATTGTCTCCATTTGGATATTGAAAGCCTACAAAAAAATTGATGCCTGCAGTTCTGACTACGAGGCAACTCCAACGCCATATCACGCCCTGCCCTGCCATTTCCTTCCCTTTGCGGGACTTCTCGACTGAACGACGCTCCAACACCCCCAAAAGTTTTTTTTCATTGCTGAACCTCCCTTCTTCTGCTTCCTCTCGCTCGGGAGTAGCAAAGCCACTGTGAACATGATTTCAGCTGTATGATTCGCATTCCATCCGTCAAAATCTCGTTGTGTCGCCTGTATCAAACGCCATCTCTCGTTTCCATCTCGAGCAAGAAAAAAAGTAAAGACAAAAGGGAAACAAGTCAGGGTGGAGAAGGAAGGTGGAAGAGGTGTGCAGATCGAGGATCATATCCACCTTTGATCCCCCTGTGACTGACTTTACTCTCAAGTGGAATAAAGGTCATGAGACAAGCTTCTAACGTCCTTTCATGAGCAATAATACATGCCATGGGGATGAGTCCATCCCGGCTCAATTGGTTTCTTGAGCGTTCAAGCCTTTGTCAACGCACACGTGCCTGACTGCACGCAGACATCAGCTTGGCCATGGGTGAAGAAAATCAATAGTCTTGGGTACTTTTGATAACGCCAGCTGTGCGTGTGCTGAGGCTCTATGAATCGGCCAGTTTCGCAAAGTGCTTGGACCAGATCCAACCGACTTGATCGTCAGGGTCATCTTGGTTTTTGGCAAGCCATAGCTCGCCCTTCTCAGCAATAACATCAAAGATCTATGAATAAGGTCAGTCTGGCAGCTCTGAACACACGCACACAATACTAGAAGTCATGTACTTACCTCACCGGCTTGGTACGTAAGATACGGGTAGCCAGCCTCGTGCTTTGTTGTTTCAATATTGAACTCGAATAACGATGCAGCCAGCCAAAGAATGTTATATCCATTCCCAGCTGGGGTGCGCTCACGTGACGATGCGCGTGAGGATCTTTGGCCTTCCTCGACTCCATCGGGCATTGGCAGTGCTGAATGGAACAGGCCAGAGAAGCGCCTGGATTCATTGCCCGCATGTTGGGACTGGTGTGATGGATTGGAGTCCCTTCTGTTATTTGACGCCGACTCTGAGCTCTGTCTCGGGAGACCATTCGTTTCATAGCTTCGACCAGTGCCAGGTCTAGTGCTGGGCGGTGGAGCAATTGCACGGGGCACAGGTGATTGGTCACCCGTAACTGGAGAGGCAGATACTGAAGGTCGCTGAGCAGTTGCACCGGCGTAGTAGTCTCGGTAGTAGAACTGATGGGGGCTAAGTGGTGTAGTGCTTGGCGACAGAGTGAACTGGCCACTGTGGCGCTTGGCAAAGTCTGGTGTCGGCAACATCGGGGCATGGTCACCGTTGACTGACAAGCCTCTGGCACGCGGAGATGATATCTCAGCTGGCCGGGGTCGGTGCTTAGTCGTGACATCATCGGTGCTTGCTGTAGTAGACTGTGATGTCCTTCCTCTGTATGCAGGGTTCAGGATCCCAACACTGGCGAAGAGTTCCTGCGCGTATTTATAGTCCCGTTGGAAAGCAGAGACAATGTCCGGAACCTCTGGTGGCGGCCCTGTCTCTCCGGTGACCTTTTTGACCTTTTCCACCCAGATGGAATACCAGTTCGCCTGAATATTGACGAAATTGCCCAGACAAATGTTTCCAATCCTCTCTGTCAAGGCAGACAACTGAGGTAGCTCCTTCTTAAGGGTCTCGTTGAGGGCGTCGTACTGTTCCACCAACTCCTTAAGTCTGGCGTCTACCGTTTTTCCACCTTTCTTGATTTGTTCTGCTCTCTCGTAGTCAAGGCGTCTCTTTGCACGTTTCTTCATTGCCAACGAGGGGTTACCATATGCTTTGATCACATGCTCGAATGGCTCAATGACATGCTTGCGAACCTGCTGGAGCTGCTTGGGTGTTAGTGTTTGAAGCGTAGCTTTTTGAACGGATTGCTCACATGATCTTCTAGGGCAATCTTCTCAATATCTCTCATCGAGACATTGAATTGCACCCATTTACTCTCCAGCTCCGGATAGCTACCAGGTTGGAGACGCATCACAAGCTCCATGGCGGACAGGTACTGCAAGAACTCATGCACGTAGGCGCTGACCTGTCGGGTGTAGAACTCCACATCTCTGAGAACAACTTGTAGCCGAAGATAGTCGTCGCCAAATTTCTCATGGAGCTTGGCGTATACAGCATCTTCGGGAATCTTCGAGCTCGCAGCCTGAAGCTTATCGACACGTTTGCCAAAGGCTCGGGCAAATCCAGCCTTGACATCGGATTCCTTCCTCTTGCGACCAACGATTTGCCCGACAAGCTCAAAATTCTTCTTCGTCTTGTTGATCTCGACAATTGCCAACTCCAGGGTTTCCTTGGCTGACAACAGCTCGGCTCGGTCCGGATGATCCTCGGGCGTGTGTCGCAGAAGCTCTTGGATGAGATTAGGATACTTGGTAATTCGCTGCATGGGCTTGATGAGAAGAGAGTCCAGGTCCCAGGCTGCAGTCAGGTCCTTGGCCACTTCATTACACTCATTGAGCCAGACCTTCACGGTGGGGTCTTGCTGGATTTGAATCAAGCGTTTGGCCGCATGGTCGCTGTTTCTGAGGAAGCCCTCATGCGCCAATCTCATCTGTTCAATATGCTTCTTGAAGAGAGGACCCAGCGACGTGGCTCTATCGTTGTCGTCACCGAGTTCTGGCGCCACTTGATTCGTGGACGAGTTCCCAGTCTGTTCCGAAGCAACCGAGTCCTCCTTCGGCAAAGGGGAACGCCTGCCATGGGGCACGTAGACAGTGCAGACAGCTTCCTTAAGCTGAGCACAGAACATGGTGTGGAAGGTGATAATCTCGTCGGTGTTTCTGAAAATGAGCTTGATGGTTTTGTCATCCAGTCGTGGACAAGCTTCAGCGGTGCCCTTGTAGATCTCTTCCACAATATTCATGTCCCTTACGAAGACCATCTCTGTGTCGACGAGTTCTCTGATCACATTGCGTCGTTGCACTAGGCGGTGCTTCTCTTTTCCGATCGGTCCGTCTTTCTGACTGGGTGTTGCTACCGACTCGACAGGAGTCTGGCCGCCAAGAGAATACTCCCTGGTTTCAATCGACATGTGGTCGATGGATTGGGTGGTCGAGACGGGGCGCGATGCATCTTCGCTCTGACGCCGGGAAGAGCCCGCAAGGGTACTTCCAGGAAGTGTGTCTGCGTAGATGCTGCTAGCTGCTGTTCGCCTGTCACGGACTCGTGTAGACGCAGGGACTGGTGGGGGCTCATGTTCTGGCCGTGGCAAGGTAGGATCTACCTTTCGGGCTGGGAAGTGACTCTCATCAATGTAAGGAACCGAGAAACCATCTCCAGTATCCAACTCCGGCAACTGATGAATGGTCGCACGTTGGGACGGCTGAACGACTGCTGTATCCGATGGCGCGAAGTCAGGGCTGTAATGTTCACTCTGTCGGGCGGACGAATCTCTGCTAGAGCCCGATCCAAAAGTCGACTCGGATGCATAAGGCGGCTTGGGAATAGGGAGTACATCGTCAAAGGCCGAGATCCTGTGGTGGATGGGTTCATCGCTGTCGACCGAGAAATCAGTCCATGCGGATTGTTGGCTGGTCCGGTTCACAGTCGCATGCATGGAGGGAACCATTAGGCTGCGGGACGTGTCGGGAGTTTGCTGGCTTTCGAGGCTCGTTTTATGAGGATCATCTTGCGGATCAGAGGACTCGCAAGTAGATGCTCGTTGAGACGAATCGTTGTCCTTGTGGTGCTCATGGTAGAAGTCTTCAGGCTTCTCGAGGGTGTCGCTTGCTGATCCCAAATCCTTCTCCGTATTGTGGTGGAAGTAAGACACATCACACACGGACCCATCCATATCCCCCATTTGACTCTGATCGTCAAAGTCGTCATACGACTCCATTCTTGGGAAAGGAATTGTTTCCTGTCTAGGAGAGTCATATTCAGATTCCCGCCTGAGAATTTTGACTGTTGTTTCGTATGGTGGGCTCGAGAACGGAATCGGCTCATATTCAGACATCGGCCGCGAACTGGCAAATGCACCAGGAACTAACGGTTCATCGAACTCGCTTCTCGTCGGGGTCGGTTCAGGCGATTGATGGGAAGATGTTGGTTCCAACGAGATCTTGATCGAAACCGCGTCGTCCCCTGCGGACTCATCCTCGAATGGGTACTGGTATTCCGCTTTTTCTGGTGTGGGCGGTCGTGGCTCTTCCTCGGCTTCAGCCTTCTCTGGCGCTGAAGGCGGG